ACCACTAATACAAAAGTTGTCCCATAGAAGTATGAGCATAGATGGGTCACAAGAAAAATTATTTGCAGAGAATGATCCATCTTGTCTAGACACAATTGCAGAAGAGGACTCCAATGATAATCAATCGCAAAACATGGAATCTGATATACCTGGAACATCTACTGCAAGTACTTTACCATCCAAGCGTGTTGGGGATCCTACATCTACTAATAAGGCTACCGGTAAAAAACAGAAGGCAAATAAAGAAGATTCATTAAAACTGAAAAAACTTATCAATGAATTATTATCGATTGAAAAATTTCCGCAAATTATCGAGGTCGCAGAAGAGGGTGTTTCTGGAGGAGATGCCAATAATTATTTATATTTTTTCAATAAGATTGATTTCGCAGAATCTAAAAATATAATTACAAATCAAGAGGTTATTGGTAGTTATTTTGATTTTGGAGGGGTTTTATATAAACGATACAAGGATCTAAAAAAGGATAACGGTAAAGAAGCATCCAATGCTTTAGTTTTCGAGGAAGTTCGGAAGCAAATTCCTAAAGAAGTAACCGATGTTGCTCTACGAAAGAGAATGGAGAGAGTCCGAAAAATCTATAAACTTTTTACTGCTATTGTTAATGGGAATGAGAAATTAGCAAAAGACAAAATAGCATTAATTAGATCTTTTTCAGCAAATAGCTTATCAAAATTAAGTCAAAGTGATATTGATTTTGTAATCGTCAAAATTTTGAAAAAGGGGAAATAAAAGTGCGGTATGGTCTACTGCGCCACGTTACTGCGCCCTTGTGACCGCGGGTCATAGACATTCATACAAAAATAACAAAAGTTCTCCTACTATGATTTTGATTCCCGCTTGATTAAACATAATTATCCAGATTCATACCATAATCGCATTACCATAAGACCTTTGCAAAATTTTTAGATGCGTGAGTTAGAAGCTTCAATCAATCTTTAACCCTGATTCTTCACAACTCTTTTTAAATATACGGGACATACTTCCCTCAATTCCCTGACCGTAACTTCTTCGTGAAAATTAGAAGGAAGTTCATACATATATTTTACAGGATCTTTCTATGCCTATTCTGAAAGAATGAACTTCGTTCTGGCATGAGCTCCGCTCTTAGATGCGGGTAGGTAATAGTTGAGTGTCTTTTCTAATCGTTTACCAAAGAAATTCAAATTTGATAATCTATCCGCATAATCAATCAGATAATCATTTATTATCGTACGACATTTTAATGGGGCTGAGTAAAGATAAAATTTCGATGTGTGTAACACCTGACGCATGCATGCTTATTTGTGCGATTAACCAAATTCGATTAATTGGCATTCATGTACATCCATTTTCTTTGTAAGGAATTCTTGGCGTAAATATAGAGGAAGAGATGGAAGGAAAACATTTATAAGGGCAGTATAAAAATATATACGTTAATTTGCGATTTCTGATTCTAGCTCTTTTGTAATTTTTCAAACTAACAAAAACATTCCATTTAACTTGCATAACTTTATTCTAACAATGTCAAGTATTTTCGAGAGAGTTTGTAATTTCCTTACCCATTCACCGTTGGACCATATTTCTGTCATGTCTGTCATATATCAAGTGATAGAAGAACAACCAGGATATCCAGAGGATGAACTACGTGATTTGGTTTCTCTAGCCATCGACGAGACAATAAAGAATTGCAAAAAAGATAATCTAAGACGTAAGAAGCTTATTAAAATCCCATTGCAGGTTAGTTTTAATCTCGAGGTTGTGATTAATTATACCATATGATGATTGGCGCTGGTCCGTGTTAGCTTTGGTTAAGTAAAAGCCTATAGCCTGCGGTTACTGGATATTATCCACAAACGTATGGAGGTGATTACTTGATCAAGCACATGTGGATAATTAAAGTCAAATGAAGGCGATAGACGTGTGATGGCCAGACACGAATTGAACCTTTTCATGCGACTTTCTGATGGGTGCATGCATAAATATCGGATTTAACGGTTAATCGTTTGAGTAATTACTAACATGAAATTTTCTGATGCGCCAGTTCGAGGTTGGTTATGAAGGCGTCTGTACACTTCGCAATATAGAGGAGGCGAAAAAGGTGCGTTATATTCTTGTGGTATTAGCGACTAGGATATTATATATGTGCTGACTTTTCTATAACAGAAAGAAAGTATTACTGAAGACGAAATAAAAGAGAACATGCGAACTTTGAAGACGAAGCTCATCGTAAGTTTAGAAATAACACATCAACTCTTTGGGAGCAAAAACCGATCTGAAGTTTATTATTATCTTTTTTTTTTCAGAGTAGTAAGTCTTCTTATGCACCCGATTTACGAAGAAAAATAGATGGTATTGAGGCTTCTAACCTTTTGTGGTGGGATCCACTTGGGAGCCGTGTACTCAGTAACGAATCGGATTTGGTGAGGTCTTCTTGGAGTTGAATAATAGGGATAGGTTGACGACCATAATATTCTATATGATACAAGTAAACTTAGTAAACTTAGATAGGTCATAAAACGGAACATCATATATTTTTTAGTGAATATACCCGTAATAATAACAATGTTTCCACGAACTCAATCAGCTTTTCGGTATCTGTGGTGTGTTGTATTGGGATTTCCACAGAGCGTAAACGGTATAAACGATGTAATTCATCTCCACCTCGAATAAGAATAAATAGATGGAGCATCTTTCCAGCAATTTGAATCCCAACAATACCGAAATAATCATCATCTATTTTGCAACCCTTACGAGTCCAATACATTCCATCGTTCAATTCTCGCCACAGCTTCACCCAATCACTTAATTCTTTATCATCATCACAGACCAGACGTGAGCATTCGGAATACATTAGTTCATATAATTTTCTTTTATGTTTAACCAAAAACATCACATCTGGTCGTTTCCCTCTCTTTCCTCTCCGATCTTTACTGGCTATGCTTTGTCGCTCTGCACTGGTGTGGACATAAAACATGCAAATAAGAATATGTTTCCCTTAAAAATCGAGAAATAATCATACTCACGTGCTGACAAAAGCAGATTTTCCGACTGGAAGGCCTTTCAATGTGGTTCGAATAACAGGGACTATGATGTCAGTTACATACGTCCCCTCGCTTTGCGAACTGGCAAATTTCTTCCCAAAAGTTGGATTATCCCAGACTTCTTCCCTAAAATGAAACAGTTATACATGTAATTTCTGAGCTACAAGAAATCATATGGGGGCTGTTCTAGGAAAAAGTGGGTTTCT